GCCTAAGTAATAATGAATTGTGTAAGAAATCTAATGTCAGTAAATTCAAAATATGGTGCTAATGACTCTGAAAGGTTTTGTGTTTTACATATATAATTAAACATTTATAATTAAACAAGTGTTATTTTTCAGACTAAACTAAAGGTCCTGTTCGACTCAAATTTAAAGAATAAACAGAGTTTAATTTGAATTGCATTGAAATTTATGTGAATTTTAGGCGGTAATGAATCATGTAATAAAGTATTCACTAAGTTACAGCAAATCTAAATTTTCAGACAAAGTAATTTAATTATGTAAATAGTAAATACTTACTTTTTAAACTGATTTACCCAACACTAGGACTGTCATAATAATCAACTTATCGACTTATGGACACAACCTCAATAATTTTTGGTGATGCAATATATATCGCCCATACAAAAAAACAAAACAATTCTAGCAACATTTTATCTGACTGTGCATCATCTCTATCGGAGGTGTCAGTGTCAGCATGATTAAAAAAACATTATAGTATATTTTCATATGAATGTCTGACGACTGAAAATAGATCTGGGAGCACATATCCCAGCCTCTATTACTTTTTACCTTGCACTTTTTTTGAGAACATTTATTATTATTTATTTAGGATATGCGTTTTCACATTCTGATTCCAATGCCTGATTAATAAACTGTTAAAAGGACTATAATCAAATTAATTATTCTTAAAAATAAAATATGATGTGCTTTTTGAAGAGTGTGCTTGCATTGGGATGATATCATATTGTCATGATAAATGGCATAGATGGTCTTAAAATGACAATACTGTTTATCGCAATATATTTTAGTGCAATATATTGTGCAACAAAAAATACATATCGTGACAGGGCTACTCAACATGTAAAGCATATTTTTTTAATCCATATTTAAGACATTAAAATAAACCCACTAGTGGCCATAATAAGAGCTCAGAGTGGAGAAAAGAGTCCTGAGATTCTCTTCTAACTGTATCCAGATTTCATCCCTTCCAGACAGGAAAACAGCTCTTTCAGGAGCACATTAACTGTCAGTCCCATAATCAATCATCAGCTCAGTCAGCAGAGGAAAACCTTGTCAAATAAGCAAAGCAACACACTTAATTAAGTATTTTGAGGGACATTTTTAACCTGTTTACTCGAGATTGAGAGAAGCCAAGTAGTTAAGCGGCTTTTATTTTACTTTAATTTTCTGAGATCAAGCACCTTTCAGCAGATCCAAGAACAACTGTTGTATATTTATACGGTTTTATAAAAGAAGATGACATTTTAGAGAGGAAATTTAGACAGAAGAAATGCAGGATATCAAATATGTATGATGATATAACATAGATGCATTACTCTGATAGGGACCAGCATAATATACAGTGCTTAGCATATACAAGTACACCACATTATGGAAATGCATGTTTTTATCCATATCCATTTTATCCAAAACAGATTCATTAAACAGATATTA